TAAATAAATAAATAAATAAATAAATAAATAAATAAATAAATAAATAAATAAATAGAAAAAAAGATACAATGATCACAATAATATGTTGAACTTTCAAAAGGAGAGAACAGAACTGAAGTTACCAGAAGTGAGAATGAGGGAGAGTAAGAGGGTAAGGGAGGAACTGGTAAAGGGCCACAAAAACTGATTACATTGTATAATGCTGAACATACTAATTACCCTGATTTGAGCATCACAGATTGCACACAGGTATTCATGTTCAACACTGTACCCCACAGATATGTAAAATCAACTTTGTTTCAATTAAAAAAAATTTAAAAATTCAGGTCTCTTTAAGAAGTCACATTTTAAATAAAGGACAAATCCTTATAGTACTCTTTACTCCTTTATAGCCTAAGAAATCACATCCTAAAGCAGATAATTATGAAGCAGCTCATATTTTCATATAGGAATAATAATTGGTGTATGGGTTTTTGATCAGGTATTTTGCATCATGTAAATTATAACCAACAATGTGTTATAAAAGCAAAGTTATAGTAATCATACGTTCATGTAAATAACTAAAATGTCAAAATTATGCTCCAAATCCTATAAAATAGCATATATTTACAATATGCACTGATTAAAAAAGGGTTTCAAACTATTCCTGTAACACATGAAATGACAATTCTCCTTTAATGAACAGAATTTATTTAAATAATTAAAATAAATTTGACAAAACAGGCTAGATGTAAAAACTTAAATTATTTAATTAATAACACTTCTTTCCCCTGTCTACTTGAATTTGTGTGGGTTTGGGCACTATAATTTGGGTGGGTTGGGAACTTATTATCTTTTTGTTCTTTCAGTAAATTTGCTTGTAGCAGTGGAGGAATGTCAAAGTTCTTTAACCTTAGAACCAAGCCCAAATTACTATAGTAGGTTCTTGATAATTTGGTTCATTTTATTGATAATGATGACACAGAGGTTGATTTCTCCCAATGAAAAACATTTTTTTTTTGCAAGCACAATGCTTTAAAAAGCATTTTTTAAAGTAAGAGCTGATTTACCATTTCTGCCTTCATTTTTACCCTCTGAATTTATTTAAATCTGTAAGAGCTGTGGCTGCTTGGAATCACACCAACACTGTGGGACAGAATATAATCACTGCCACTGTGCCAGGCCACCTTTACCTGAGACCCCATGGGCTGCATGCCGCTCATATTGGGAAGCCCTGCACCCCACACCTCTCTTTAGGGGGTTAACACAACGGGATGTCGAGTGGGAATTCTCCTGCTGTTGGCAACCGGGACTGATGGCTATGCACACAGATGGAGTAAGTGCCCATTATCTCAAGACAGCCACCTTCAGTGAGGCCGGTCACCACCCTCACCTCCCCCGACCAGCACCTAGAAGAGGCATATCCCTGCCCTATAGGCCTATAAAAGCAGAAGGCAGGGAGGGAGACTGAAGTGTCTGCAGGAAGGAGAGTCCTGGAGTCTCTCCCTTCCCCCTCTTTCCTGGGTTGAGTGGTTCTTCTCTCCCTTTCCCCCAGTCTACCCCAAAGTCAAGGAGGGGACATTTCAAGATGCTCACTTGTGGAGTGCAGAAGTGAGAGCAGTGGGCACCTGCCTGGGCAGTGGACTGGTGGACTGTCTCTGAGCCTCTGGGTGAGGACATCTGGTGGAGTGGGACAGCTCCCCACCCCCCGCAGGGAATGGCCATGTGAGCTCCCCCCTGGGCCCCACACACTGTAGGAGGCGGCCAGGCTAAGGCTGCCTCATCAGGGTCCTAGCCCACGGGGGTGCTGCTAGTGCTGGGAGCTGGGACAGATGTATGCTTGGGTGAGAAGAAGAATCCCCTGCCTTTTTTCCCTAACCCCCTTACCCCTACCCCAACTGGGGTAGGGACGGGAGGAGATGACCTTCTCAACTGGATGGGACTTTAATATCCAAAAGGGAAGAGAAAGCAATGGCCTCTGCCCAAAGTGTCACTTGGGGAGAGAGGAGCTTGAAGCAGGGGCTGGGATGAAATGAAACCTTTTCGTGACTGGGTCCCACCAAATGCGGACTGTTTGTGAAACCATTTGCTGTAGATTGGGACCGAATGGGAAAAAGCAGTATGAGAGAGGAGCTGGAGAAAAGGAGATCTAGAGGGAGGGTGTGCGGGGAAAGAGGGAGAAAGTGCAGACGAAGAAGCGGGAGAGGGAAGGGAAGAGGGAGAAGGAGGAAGGCCCATGCAAGGAGAGAAAAACACACGCACGGCATGAGAGGAGGGAGAGGCGAAGAAAAGAGAAAGGACCACATGTATTCTAGGATGAGCCGGAGGCCACGTCCTACAGCTTCCCTCTGGGCTTAGAGTAAGATGTCAATGTCCTTTGAAATCTGAATAGCCACTGTTCACAGTTTTATTCCTACACTTCAGAAATTCTCACACCAAATCAAGTGGTCACAGAAGCCCAATAGGATGGCAGTTAGGTATGATGGTGAAAGTAACAAAAGAGAAATCAGCCTATGGGCACGATGAAATCAAACGGGTCAGATCTGTTTCCCGTGGCCTCTACGACATCTTCTTAAAGATCTACAAATTCCCTGAAAGGCATGCACTGGGACTCAAGGGCTGTGCTGTGGGGGCCGCAGCGGTCCTGCAGAAGTGCCTTACTTGGCCAGCAGGCTCATGAGGTAGGTGGAGGTGTTGGTGTCCAGTCGCAGGGGAGGCACCGTGACATAGGCGGCCGCGTGGGACCAGTCCTGGTGGTAGTAGTGTAAGCCTGTCAGTGTGGCATGTGCAGTGGTGGTCTCAGCCAGCACGACCTTCCCTGGAAGAAGAAGGGTCAAACCATAACTAGGAAGCCACCAAGCCCGAGAGATTGTTGGTCGGGGCCTCTCATTTTACAGGCGTTTGAGAGCACAGCTGGGTTCAAGCCCAGAGAGCTTCCTTGTTCTCCTGCCGACTCCAGGCGAGGGGGACAGAAGGGCCTGGGCTCCGAGGCTGGCAGCATTGGTGGCCCTCAGAGGAGTCTGGTTTAGATGGAGCACAGGACTGAGCAGGGTGCTGCTGGGAGAAGAGGCTTGATAGCGGGGTGGACAGGCACTCAGGGTGAACCCCTTGCTAAGGAGCAATCTGGACTGTTTGTGAACAGGCAGGTGCAGGGTGCAGTTCAAGCAAATCTCTGGGAGTGCGCACTGTCGCAGGGCTGGGGGGCAGGGAGACAGCAGGCTGGGACAACAGTCCAAGTGAGACCCCCACGGGCTTCTACTGGGTGGGACCTAGAGGGCAGTACAGCATGAAGGCTGGGATGCCCTGGCTTCTGACTTCTCTCCCCAGGTTTGTGAACATGACTTTGTTTCTCCTGTTACCAGGTCCTCACCAGCACCCGAGCTGGGCTGGCTACAGGCTACTACAAAGCCTTCAGGTGTAGCCTGGTGATCAGCAACAGGAGTCTTGCAAATGCCCTTCAGGACTTGTACATAGGGTTCCAGTGGCTGTAAAGGAAACTTGGGCCCACACACTGTCATTTCTCCAGGGACTTCCCTGAAATGTCCACTGGAACTGTCCAGGATTTTATTTTAGTTGCAAGGCATTCACTAATAAAACCTAAGAGGCCAAAAAGACACCAATTAATGAGTCAGTTTAAATCCTGGAAAATCGTATCAGACCCAGGAGAGGAGACAGACACTTCTGTAAAGCTGCTATGCATACAAATGTGCACAGGAAAACCTTGGGTTCTACTGAACTGAAGCCGGTGTCTGAGGAAGACAGCAGCAGGGGAAAGGAAGGGCTGGGGACTGTGCTGAGCTGGTGGACCCACCATTCTCCAATCCCACCACATGATGAGCACTGTCCAGCCAGGGCTAAGGACTCACCTTGCATCTTAGCAGCTGCGATTACATCACCAGCCGTGATGCTGGACACGTTGACCAGGTAGATTGGACAGTGAGTCTAAACACAAGAAACATCAGGCAGTGGGGAGCAGCAACCCATAAACATAACAGGCACCAAAGCAACCTGGCAAAATCAGTCCTGACACCAGCGCCTCCCCTGCGTCGCTCAACCCCACCCTCAAGGTAGCATCTCATTCTGGGAATGCAGGGCCGGCAGCCACAGTACAAGCCGCCAGGAGCACCCAGCGCTGGAGCCCACAGGGGACTGTCCCATGAGGCAACATCAGGGTAAGACTATTGAGTTGGAACCTTACATTTTCTCCCATCTGACAACCATGATTATAATTAAAAGGAAGGACTGTTTCTCCTACTTTAATTTCCTGTTCATACACATGATGACCTAGAGACAGTCATATATTATATTCTATATCGAAAGCTGGTTAGCCCAGTTGGTTAGAGTGTGGTGCTGATAACACCAAGGTCCAGGGTTCGATTGCTGTACCAGCCAGCTGCCAAAATAAGGTAAAATAAAATAAAATTACACTGCTTGCCACCTGAAGGCTGCTTTATCAGTAGACAGAACATACCCTGGAGAAGAACAAAACACTAGGGGATCAGTTCAGAGTTGAGGCCAGACAAGACTGATCTTGCAAACGGACACCTGGATTATAATATTGATTGGCTTTTTTCTTTACTGAGCTATGAGACCATGGTCCATGGCTTAACTTCTCTGAGCATATGTTTGAGCTAAAAAAAAAAGAAGGAACTGTTTTTCTGTTGCTCGGTTCCTTATTCTGGGGTAATCAATAAAATAACTATTGTCATGACAATAAAACAATGTCCTTGTCCAGTTGCCAGTCTTATAAACTGCTAACGGGAAACTTTGTTTCCACAAATGTTATCCTGATACCTTCTTTGCTTATCAAATTAGGAGGAAATAGAGTGTAGGAACTGGCCTGAGGTGTGATATGCGTGGCACAAGTTTACTGACTAATCCTGGGATAAGCTGGCACAATAGCCTCTCTGTTTTCCCCCTGATACTCCTAAAGCCACACCTTCAGGCTTACATCCTGCAGGGCAGCCTGGGTTCTCCCAGAAGAGAGGTTCCCAAGCATAAGCAACCAGTAGAATTACTGGGGGGCTTGTTAATATATAGGTTGCTGGGCTTGCCCCCAGTTTCTGATTCAGTGGGTCTGCAAAAGGCCCAATAATTTGCATTTCTAAGTTCCTATTTCTCACAAGTCATGCTGATACGGCTGATCCAGGGACCACACTCTGAAAACCACTGTTCTAAAGGAGGCAGATGATCTGAGCAAATGGAATCCTTAAATGATGGTTTAGAAAGAGAAATAGCCTCTGTACAGTGCTCTACTATTTATAAAATGCTTTCCCTCCCATGGCTCTTTTGATCCTCACAATCATCCTGTGAAAAGTAAGTGATACTATCATTGCAATTGTATGTAAGAAAATAATGTATCTGAGTTTTTGAGTGACTTGCATATGGTCAAGAAGTTTCTATTTGATAAAGGCCAAGACAGAACTTCTGGCCCAATATCTCTTGCTTGTTTCTACTACTATACACACCCAGCACCTCATTACCCTCAGGGCTTTACCCTGAACCATACCAAGAAAAAAGTCCCAAAACAACGGTCCAGCAGCATAGTTATAAATTATGGTTCTGTAAGTCAAAAGTCTACCTATTCCTCTAAAGGAAACAGATTCCAGTTGTAGCGAGGCTCTGTGGTCCCCTCACCTTCCCCTGCCTCCCTTGAGAGCTGTTTACACTTGAGCAATGAACCGAGGCGTCAGCAAGCTTAGTGGGGTGGAAAGAACTGGAGGCAAGTAGGACGCATGCCAGAGCTGTGGAATAACAGTGCATATTCAGCAAACAGTTTGGGGGTCCTGAGAGCCCCGCATGGTGCTGGCACCCAGAGCAGAATGAGCCTCCACTGTGCAGGTTGCTTTCTGATCCCAGAGTGGAGATCGAGCTACTTACCCTGTTTGCAATGGTGATAACTCGGTGCGTGGCTTCAGCTTCCAGCTGTTAGAAACAAAGGACAGGAAGAAATCAAGCATCACCATCTCCTTCAAGCAAGCCTAGTTCTGCCTGGAAGCCCACTGTGTAGAAAGTGCTGGAATTTCTGACACAGACGGGAGGGGCCAACTGCAAGGCCTGGGTAGGGGCACCATGCTCCAACCACCTAAGGCTCACAGTGAGAGAGAATCCTAGGATTTAGTCTACAGGCACATCCTTGCTTGACGACTCAGGGCTTAATTAAAAGGCAATGAAACAAAATTAAAAACCTGGAGTTACATCTCTCCCTGTTTTCTGGTGTATTCTCTGCATAGCCACCTCAGAAATGTAGTAAAGGAGAAATAGTGACTAATTTCAAGCTGGAAATTAGCCTGGATCAGGGTTTCTGCACCTGGGACTACCAACATTTTGGGAGGGATAATTCTTTGGGTGGGGGCTGTCTGTGCACTATCTTTAGCAGAGTCCCTTGCCTCTACCCACTAGATGCCAGTAGCACCTTGCCCCCTTCCCAGCTGGGACAACCAAAAATGTCTTTAGACATTGCCAAATGTGCCCTGGGGAGCAAAACTCCCGTGGTGTAGACCCAGGACCCTCTCCTCTAACCAATAGATGATAATTATTGCTATTGCTATCCCTGAGTCAAAGTCTTTCTTTTTCCCTCATATTACTTAACAAAAAAGAAGTCCCATCCTGTGTCCACCCCCTGCTCACTCCTGTTCTCTCAGGCACACCCTCAGTGTATTTCTTTTGTTGAATCTGGTATGTCTTTCTCTACTAATTCAGAGGTGCCAAAACAGGACCTATATTTAAGGGCTCTGACAGGCAGGGACAGATCAGGGCAGGAGTAAGATGGGACTCCCCATCTGACCCTTTATGGGCCACATGGTCGTATGATGGTCGTACAACCACATCCTGTCTCCTGCTCCTCGTCCCTCAAGGTCTCCCCATCAATCCCTCATGGACATCCAACCACCACTCTGCATTGAAGGCTCTGAAGAAACAAAAAGTAGATCCCCGCCCCCACAAATGGTAGATAATGTCTGAGCAGGGTCGTAGGGCAAGAAGGCTTTATTTGTCTAATGTGGTCCCTCCAGAGGGATTCCAGAGCAGAATTCTTTGGCAGGGGGACTATGGGGATTTGTGTGGATGTCCCCCCGCAAGACTGCCTGCAAGGATAAAACCAGAAGGCAGAAGAAGAGCAGGGCTTTCAATGACCACCTCAGGGAGTAATAAGCGAAGAAGCCTGGACAAGTATGTGCTTCCTGTTTCTGGTGTTAAGAGTCCAAAGAATTCCTCAGATGCTCAAAGGGATCCCAGCCCCAAGACACTGAGTTGCTGGCTTACAGTTTGGAATGTCTTCTAACATCTAAAGGCCCTTTCGGTCTGTCTTTTGTCTTTCAATTCAGTTTTGGGCAAAGCGACCCCCGGTGTTCTGACATTGTCTTCCTCAGATACTTGAAATCAGAATCAAATGGGGCAGGTATGGTCCCTCCAGTTGTCCCTTCTAAGAAAGCTCAAGGTCAAGTTGGCCTCAGCATGGAGGAAGTTGTTCCCTGAGAAGCTTCCAGATGGGAATTTCACCCATGGAGAAAGTGATACAACACAACTTATATTTTGGATGTCTCTTTTATCCTAAAAGATTCTGTGAATCTACATGAAAGAAGTTGATAAAGGACCCAGGAAGTCTTTCTCACCTCCTCTGGACGGCTAATCTCGATTCCTTCTGGGCCTGTGATACCCAAATCTAGTGCCTCCTTAGCACCCTGAATAACAGCAAGAGAAAGAAAATGGAGAGAATCATAGAGATATGAGCAAATGCTGAATTCGAAGGACAGTAAAATATGCTAGACACGGCCCATTCCAACAGTTTGCTACTCTTCTCACTTCTGTGATATTAATCTTCTAAAGAGGGCAGAGCAGCACGGGACTCCCATGCAGAAAAGCTGTTCTGATCCTCATTTCATAATGACTAAACAGATCTTTTCCTCTTAAAAATACAGTTCAGTAATTATCAACAGGCCTGGGGCACCAAAGACAAGCACTAATTATTAGTTTGAAGGTCAGAATTTCCTTATTGTAAATCTAGATAAATCTCTAGCTTCCAGCAACTCTTAGACTAGCCCTTATCCCCAAACCTAGGAGTACAAAGGGGTTTATCTTTCTTGGTACCAGTGAATAGATCTCTATAATATCTATAATATCTCTGAAGAGCTACAGGAGAGTGGAAGGCTGATTCTTATTTATTATGAATGTCAAATCTCATTAAAAATATTTCTAAGAGGTGCTCCAAGTTCTCTGCTATAATGGAATTTAAATATCATACTGTTAGAACTAAAACATCATTACCTAAGACTTAGAAACCTTTTTGGACCATAATGAGAGATTTGTTTTTTACAAACAGCAGGAAAGTTTGGATTTTCTGACCAAGATTTGTCATCTGGGGTGTTCCCACCTCACACTTTGTTTTACAACATGTTTTGTCTGAACCTGTAGGATGAGTGGTCAGAAATCTCCCTGAGAACTGTCCCCAGTGGTGCCCCCATCCCACATTCTCTACTGCAGACTTGCCTCGGCCACAAGCTCCCCATTTTCAGCATGGACTCGGGCAATCGCCCCAATGTCCTTGCAGGCATGCAACACTTGGTACAGCTCACTGTCTCGAAGCATGTACAAGTCCTTGTAGGTCATGAACATCTGGAACGAGTTGACACCCTTCTCCCTCACCAGGGTCTCCATTTCTGCTTTCACCTGGAGAGCAAAGCACGGAGGCAATGCCACGTGAGAACAGACATTCAAGAAGCGGGCTGGCAGACGTGGGCCCCAGCTCAGTTGGCTGAGTCATCATGTGCCCACCAACAACCTGCCAGCGCCTCACCTTCCTCCCACCCCACAGGCTGCTGTGAGGGCACGTGAGCAAATGGATGCAGAAGTACTTTACAGATTGTCCAGCTTGACAAAATTGCAGGAACCATATTGTTACATTGTAGGCATGTTTCTCCCATCACACAGGCTTGTCCTGTGTTTCTGCCTCCAAACCAGCCTTACTGGTAAACTCAGGAATAATGACTTTTATTCCTGAGGCCTCTTTCCCCCAGCCCCCGTAATGGAAGCAGTGCCACAAAGAAGGCACACTAATGCTAAAAACCCAGAGATCCTGGGAAAATCTAATTTAGGAACAAAGCAAATCATGAGCAAAGCTTTGCAAAAAAAGGAAATTCATCCCAACATTATTTATTTATTTATTTATTTTTTCCTTTTTGTCTTTTTTCGTGACCGGTAACAGGATCGCAACCCTCAGTGTCGCGCCCGTACCACGACAGGCAACGGGATCACAACCCTCGGTGTCGCGCCCGCACGGCGCTCAACCAGTGAGCAGACCGGTCTCTATATGGGATCCGAACCCTCGGCAGGAGCGCCGCCGCGCTCTCAAGCGCCGCACTCTACCGAGTGCGCCACCGGGCCGGCCCCCAACATTATTTATGTTAGGAAAAAAAATATGGAAGCAACATTGGTCTAACAATAGCAAAATAACTCAAGGTTCATCTGCTGGATAGAACATAAGTGGCTGTTACATTGATGGTCATGAAGACTATGCAACAAAATAGAAAAGGCTCACACTTAAGCGAAACAGTTACTCTGTGAAAGCATGTATAAAAACTGGAAAGAATGAAGATAAACTAACAATAAGGAATGTGTTGGGGTTATTGGATTAAGTGCTTTCTTTTCTATTTTTTACATCTGTAATTAGAAAAATGTATTTGATTATAATAAAAAAGAATGCAAAATTCTATATGCATAAGAGTCCCCACAACCTCTGGAAACAGGATGGCCAGCCTGGCCTCAGTGTTGCTGGGAATCTGAATGGACCCTCTATTGATGGCAACTCCAGGGGGAGGAATAGAGAGAGGCTGGGGGATAGGGGTTATCCACCCTCCATCTGAGACAAGGGATGGCTGACATTCAGCATCGTCTGCACCTTTAGCCCAGTACCAGGAAGAGGAGCCTTCATGATGTGACAGTTAGGGGGCTCCAAGGCCTTTTATAAGCACCAGGACAGAAATAATGGAAGGGACTATATAGCTCCCAACTCAAGGCTAAAGCCCAAGGGCAGAAGTGATAGCAAGGCTTTAAACTATTATCTCAGAAGGGAGTCAGGCCCTTTAGACCAGTTTGTCTACAACTGAACAACTTTGTAAAACTTCTTAATGCTTGCCATTTTTATGATTTTGGGGTGCCCACTGAACTACTGGCACATGGGGGCTTAATAAATAATTGATGTTGTCTACAACTGAACAACTTTGTAAAACTTCTTAATGCTTGCCATTTTTATGATTTTGGGGCGCCCACTGAACTACTGGCACATGAGGGCTTAATAAATAATTGACAAAAGAATGAACATGCAGGCTGCTTCCCTGGGATAATAAGCAGTAACACTCCAACAACGAAGCAAAATCTAAATGCCTGTATATGTGGTTCCAGGAAGAATGAGGAAGTGGGAATCTGGGGAGAGGACTCTGGCAGGGGGAGGACAGGAAAGCCAGAGGCTGGGGGCACAGACACAAGGTGGGCACAGAAGCTGACCTGAGAAAGGGCTCTGTGGGAGCCAGCCTCAGCACTTCTCAGAGCCTGAGTGGGCCCCAGTAGGAAAGAAGCATACTGAGGCCATTCGTACCAGGTGGAACAGAGACAGGGCAAGGCCCTCAGCTCAGAGACCTCAGCTCAGTGCTGTTGACATGACCCTCTGCACACAAGCCCTGCTCAGCCCACTACTCAGCAGCACTACCCACCAGGTGTCAGTGGCACCTCGGATGCTAAGAGCCTGCAGTCAGAGCAAGGAGCCCACGCTCCTGAGGCCTGTCCTGGCCTTGGACTCTCTTCCAGCATGGGGCCCTCTTTGTCTGCTGGAAAATGGGCTCTAAGTTACGTAGGACAGGCTACCCACTCCCCTTATGGAATCCTAAGTGTTTTTTCTTTTGGCATTGAGGGGAATCAGGATGGTGGTGGGAGGGGTGCCCCACACATACAGGACAGCATCATGCCCCAGCTGGCTCAACCAAACAGCCCTTCTTCCTACAAGAGCACTCGTGCCTTCTTTTGGGATTCCACCAGCACTGTTACCTTGGGTGCCCACCAGGTGATCCCCACATGGAGGGCATAGTCACAGCAGACCTTGGGGTCAGCCAGACCCCGGCACTTCTCATAGGCATCCACGAGGGAGGTCTCCTTGTCAGGCAGAACGTGGCCGATGATCATGGTGGTGCCTCCAACGAGCGCTGCCTGAGGGAGACGGGAAAGACAGTCGCGTCACAGCTCTGCCTGCAGCCAGGTCACTGATGTGGTGAGACACGGTTCTGGGGGTGCACTCGGGACAAACTCAGACCCTACCTCACAAGAGGCTGTAGGACCAAATGCAGCAGTGTTTGGGAAACTGTAGGGGGCTATAGGGAGGCCAGGAGCCAGTGCGTGACCCTTTTCATGACTGTGGATCCAGCACACAAACCTGCTTCTTCTTCATCTTGGAATGAAGTGCTTTGGAAAAACCACTAAGTGTGTTATCAAGTCTAAGGCCAACCCCTATTTCCCCAATAAGAAGATCTCCCCAAATGATTTTTGGCCAACTTGAATATACAGATGACATAGTCAAATGATATAATATAACATAACATAACATGATATAATATAACATAATATGAAGGTGCTTCAAAAAGTTCGTGGAAAGATTTGCATTATCTTTTAATTCTATTTTTCCACAAACTTTTTGAAGTATCCTCATATAATGTAATATAATATAGCATAACCAAATGTCTATTTGTAACAATTAACACACATATATTTAAACTGTAATGTGTAAAATATATACATTAATTTGGATATTATTATTAATATATATTAATTTGGATATACACATTACAGTTATTAATGTATATATTTTGCACATTACAGTTATTTATTGTCTCAAATAACACACAGCAATTTTATTCAAACTTTTCACATGCATCTTCAACGTCGGGGTCTTTGTCTTCAGTTTATCCAAGCACATTAGCTTCCATTCCATCTGCCTTGTTTAAGACAGAGCATTTTTTAGATGCACATATGATTTATCAATGAAAAACAGTCCTATTCACGATCTCCACAACAACATACCACTTTAAAAAGAAATCTTTAAAAAAACCTCAACCTCAATTACGATGTGTACCCTAGGGAAAAAATGACTATATCTCTATTAAAGATTCCCCCTCAACTTTTTAAAAACTTATTTGGTCAGGTTATTTCCATGAACTTCCAAAACTATCATTCACCAAAGGATGTTTCAGGCTAATATGCTTTTCCCAAGCAAAACTTTGTTATTAAAATTAAAATAATTGTGAGAGCACTCCACAATGTGAGAGTCTTTGTGAGGACTCTAATATGATTCTTTTTATCTGATGAATAAAAGTTTGAAAAAAATCTGTCCTTCTGTTTGAGTCCTTACAGAGATTTGGAATCATAGCTCCAGATTCGAGTTCCTGCTCTGCTATCTCCTAGTTGGATAACCTCAGCCAGGTTACTTCTCTGAGGTGTGGATTCTTTACCTATACAATGGAATCGCTTCCTTTTTGGATAGCTGTTTAAGTCAAATAAAATGTCATTCATGGAATGAATTTGGTAAAATGCTGCCTTAATGTGTATGTTTAATTATCCTGATTTTAGGTCTTTATCTGTGTTTTCTGTAGGGGAGAAAAAAGAGCACAATGAAATTGTCTTATTGATTTCATACTTTGCTATTCAGTTAAATCCTTGATCACAAACCAGAAATATTGCTGGGGAATAAGGCACTGAAAAAAAAATTAGTTCAGTAGCCAAACAACAATTAAAATGAAAAATCTCACAACCTTGATTTCCCATGCTGATGCTGGCTGCTGGGCCACTGAGAATATTCCCCATGTTCTCATTGGAAATTCAGTGGTCTGACTTCTTGCATAGCTTAAAGCAACCAACAGAGGGTGGTAGGTCTGTGCTACGTGCAGGAACTGTGATGGGGGCAGCAGAGAAACGCAGAGAAGGGCAACAGCAGTGCAGATTGTAGCTTTACTAGCTGGCTTCTATTTTTGATTTTGCCAACAGTGCCAGGCGGATTCATCCTCAAAGCAGGTGGCTGTACTCTATTTTGTCCTGAAATGTATTTCTTGCTTTTACACATACATATGGGGGTGCATGACATACTGGGATTTTACACACTAAATTGTTTTACTTTTTGTGGTTCTAGACTACTTTCCTTCACACTCCCTCAGGACATCTGCAGCCTTGGATAGAAAAAAGGGAACCTGGGAACAGCACAGTATGGTAAAAGAGCCAGGGTTGTTCTTACTATCTGTGGGTCCCAGGGCAAGAGTAGAAAAGGAGGTTCACGTGCCAAATCTCTAAATATTTAAAAGTTATAGATCAAGCTAACAAATCATTACACAGAATATATTCTAGCCTACTACTCTGACAAATATACCTTCATAATGATCAAGAGGGCCAGGCTTGAATTTAGAATTCCTGAGGTCCTTGCAATTCTGAGCTACACTACAGGGAAAGTTGGCCTCAACCTCTGTGCCTGCCCCAGGACCTCACACTCACCCTGGATTCATCCTGCAGCCTGTAGGTCTAAGCTCTGTCCATCCCCTGCAAAATGCTGCCCTTGGGCCTAGTGTGCACATACTGGTGCTCTGGCCCCCAGGAGGGCAGATTTGGGGTTGTGTAGGTCCTAGAAGTGCTCAGGGCCATTTGAAATCAAGGATCCAGAGTGGTCTAAAAGAGAGCTAGTAGACATGGCCCATGGACCCATGAAGCAGGGGTACAAGTTGTCAGAGGGGGATCCTCTGTAGTCCAGAGCCCAGGGCAGAGGCCCCTCTTGCCTGGGTCTAAGGATGGAAACTGAAGAGTTCTGGAAGGAGTCCAGAGCATCAAGCAGTGGTCTTGACTTTCCCACTTACTGGTCATAATCTAGGAAGCAGCCATGTGCACCCTCTGTGCCCCACCTTTTAGGAGACTAGAGGGGGTCAGGGGGCAATGGATGTGAGAGCTCTCTATAAGCTGTGAAGGGGCGTATAAGTATC